GGATTCCAGTGTGTGAACGCCACAATTTAGCTTTCCTTTTCATCTTGTGGCTCCTTTGGGATGTTTCCAGTTTGGGGATATGATGAGTGAAGTTTCCGGGGGCATTTCTGTGTACGGCTCTGGTGGCCCATGACGGCTGGGACGGAGGCAGGCCTGTGTTTCACTTTGGCAGATGGTTCCAAACAGTTTTCTAAAACAGTTGTACTGACTCTCACTCCCAGCAGCAGCAAGCGGCGCTACCCACACCCAACACCATCGCTGCTCATAAACAGCGCGCTTCCCAGCCAGCTCCACTGAACGCACGGTCACGGCGCTAGCTCCGCGTCCCCGCTCACCTCTGCACCTGCGGCATGCCTAATATTTCATTTCGAACCGTGTCCCTACTTACTGGAAAAATAATTTTAATTACATGATAGCTAACATAAATGTTTTTGTTAATGACTGACCCCACGTACATAGTCATCACTGTAATTCCGGCTAGCTGCACAAAATATTCAAAGGAACACATTAAAATGTTTTTAGAAATTCAAATGAGTGCATATAGGGTTTCAGAGCCCGCATACCGTTAAAGTAGTCACTCATTCACTCGGTTATTTATTCAAGCACGCACACAGCCAGCATGAGCGCAGGGCCCAGCACGCACAGCGCCATTGCGGAAGGTGGGCATGGCGCAGTGAGCGACGCGGACGGCGTGCCTGTCCTCACGACATCACCTGCTCATGGCAGCAGACAAACAAACGCAGAAACCACAGACATAAGGACGCAATGCCATGGCGAGTGCTCTCTGAAGTAAGGCAGGGTGACGTGCTGGAGAGAGGGGACGACTGGCACTTCAGTTCGGTGTTGAGGGCAGACCTCACTAAGGAGCATTTTTAAGTGGAGTGCTGTGTGACGAGAAGAGGCAGCCCCGAGGAAAGCTGAAGGAAATGCTGTTCCCTGCAGCGTTCCCTGCAGGAACCGGCATGGAGTGAGCAAAGGGCAAACCGCGTGAGCCACGCAGACAGGGTGCTGGGGAACAGCCAACGCAGTCTGGATGTACGCAGGGAAGTCCCGAGAGGAGGAAACACTTGCAGAAACTGGTGATAAGGTTCGAGATAGACAGAATTCAGCACTGAGGGGCCAAGTCTCTGGGATGGCGCAGAACTGAACTCCACACTCAGTCACATTCCCCTTTAGACATGCAGTAAATTCTGAAACTGCCTGGGGCAGAGGCTAAGAAGCCAAGCAGAAACCTCTGAGAACCAGAGTGGACATTTCAGCATCTTGCATTGCAAAGGGACAAAGATTAGAGTTGAGGAATGACTGGTGAAGGGGTCCCCACCCACACCCCAAGTCTCTGCAGGAATCCTTGGAGGACTCTGCCCAAGGTCTGCAGTGAACCAGAGCTAGAGGACCCTAATCAAACTGCAGAGCAGTCTCAAGTTGGCCCTGCTCTGGAGTGGATCCAGGTTCTCAGTGACCCTCTACCTGCCTGGCAAAAAAAAAAAGAGCGATCCTCTATCTGGAACAAGATAACATCATTTATATTCAACAATTTTTGTCATACAGTGTCTGACAGCCAGTCAAAAATTCATAGGCATGCCAAATATTAGGGAGGAAAAAAGGAAATGTCAGATGATCCAGTTATTACGGTTATCAGACCAGGGTCTAGTCATAATTAATATTTCTTAAAATGCAAAAGGAAAGAAAATAAATCAAATAAGAAAATTTTCAATACAGAGTCTAAAATCTATGGAAACTATAAAAATTAATCATAAATGCAAATTATAAAACTTGAAAAAATAATAACTGAAAGTAAACACATGATAGATGGGATCGACAGCAGATTAGATACGGCAGAACAGAAGATCCATGAACTGGAAGACAGTTCAAAAGAAAATATCCAGACTAAAGCAAAGAGAAGAAAAGGATTCAGAGACAGAGAGAGATGCATACGATACATGTGGGAAATGTAAAAAGTCTAACAGTGTAACAGGAATCCTGAGGGAGGGAGAGAGAAATGGAACAGAACAGAGAACGGCCACAAACAGTTCACAGCTGATGAGAGACACACACCCACAGACTGCGGATGCTCTGCCACCCAGCCGGGATGAATACCAAGGACACCATACCTAGGTTTATCAAAGCAAAACTGCTGAAAAGCAAAATCAGAAAGAAAATCTTAAAAGCAACAGAATGAATAAAAGATACATGACCTCTGAAGTAATCATAATAAATCTTACAGTTGATATTTCAAAAGAATATACGGAAGCCAGAAGACAATGGAATGATCTCTTTAAAATGTTGGGGGTAGGGCGGGGAGAAGTAGCTACAAAACTATAATTTGATACCCAGATAAAATAGCCCTCAGAATTGAAGGGAGAATAAATATTTTTTCATATAAGCAATAAGAAAAAAAATGAGAGAATGTGTATCATTAGCAGACCTGACAAAATATTAAAAAATACTGAAGACAAGAGTTCTTCAAGCAGAAAAAATAACAATAATCCCAGAATATCAGGCCCAAATCCTGGCTCTGCAATTTTCTGCCTGTGCGAACTCTGGTGAGTTACTTCCCTATGCCTTATCTTAAAATGGGAATAATCAGAATTTCTCCTCCCTGGTTTGCTGTGAAGTTTAAGCAAGCAAAAAGATAAGAAGCACTTCTCAAAACCCAGGCCCTCAGGACATGATTGACACCTGCCGGCTGTTATTACAGGGAGGCTCTGTGAGAATAGAGGCCAGTAGGCGGCACCCCACAGACAACTTAACTCCCTAACTATCCCTAAGGAACGTAAGAAAGACCTCAAGAAACCCACCTGTGACGTCCAGGCGGAAGGAGACCCTCTGGCCCCCGGCCTCGCAGCTGTACTCCCCGGCGTCCGCCCTGCCCGCCTGCGGCACCACCAGCCGCCTCTGCTTCCCCTTTGCCTCCACGCGAACCTTCGAGCTGGAGCTCAGCTTCTTCCCGTCCTTGTACCATGTCACGTCCGTTTGCGCCTGGGCCACCTCGCAGCTCAGTGTGGCGCTGGCCCCCACCTCGGCCTGCACCTCCTTGTGTGACTCCTGCTCCTTGGCAAATACCACCTTGGGCTCTGGGGACAGACAGGGACATACAGGGTCAGAGATAATCCAATTGCTAGAACTGGATGAGGGCCCACCCTCTTGACCTCCCATCTCTGATGCCCCAGCCACAAGCCTGCCCTGTTCTGGCTTTCTCAGCACAGAGAACTTCGCATGCAGAAGATGCACAAAGCAGGGAACAGGTTAGTCGCAGACTCTGAAGCCTCCCGCTCATAGTGTCCAGGTTGGTGTATGTTACACTCAGGCGCTGCCATCTGTCCACCAGCTGTGATCGTGTAAGTGCACACACAACGAGAGGCGTGATTTCTGACCTGCACACCACAGCACAGGTGTTTTCGGAGATAATTTCTTTCTTTTTTTTTTCAGCCCATACCCCGTCAAGGTAATTTCTTAAGTCACGTCAGCAGAAGGGATGATATCCCTGAGTCACACAAAGGCCTGCTAATGCAGCCCACAGCTTCTAGAGGGCCCAGTTATCATTGGTATAATCAAATCCTAAGCCTTGAGGTTGGATGTTTCTTATTAATTTACTCCTTTTCCTTCCTATCACATTACTTCTTGACCCATTCTGTTACTCTAGATGTAATTTTCTTGTTTATGAAGTATAACCATTGGTAACTCTTTCAGCAAGGTTTTGTGAATGGTAAACGCTGTCGGTCTACTTTCTGAACATGTCTTTATTTCACTTGCATTTCTGAATGATTGTTCAGCTGAGTACAGAATTCTGGGTTGACAGTTACTGTCCCTCAGTACTTTGGAGATTATGCCATTGTTTTCTGTGCTCCTCATGGCTGTTGACAAATCCACAGGAAAGATAACTGTTGTTCTGTTCATCTTTTTTTCCGTCTGTAGTTTTAAGGATCTCGTCTTGGTTTTTGGCCTTCTGCAATTCACTATGATGTGTACAAGTGGAATATTTTTCTTTACACTTCCAATGGTTCCTCGTGAGTCTTGAATGTTAGGATTCATGTTGTTTATCATTTGTAAAAATTCTTGCATGATATTTTATTGTTGCATCTTCCTTATTCTCTCTAGTTTCTTCTGAAAGTCCTTTTTAAATTTACTTTTTAATTTACACATAAAAATTGTATATTATTGCATACAACATGTTTTGAAATATGTATACATTGTGGAATGGCTAAATTGAGCTAATTAACATATGCATTACCTCACATACTTATCATTTTTTGTGGTAAGAACACGTAAAATCTACTCTCTTAGCAATTTTCAAGAGTACATCATTTTTAACTATAGTCACCATGTTGTATAATAAATAGATCTCTTGAACTTACTCTTTCTAAATGAAACTTTGTATCCTTTGACTAACATCTCCCCAACACCCCTAGTAACTACCACTCTACTCTCTACTTCAGTGAGTTCAACTTTTTCAGATACCACATACAAGTGAGCTCACGTGGTATTTATTTATGTGCCTGGCTTATTTCACTAGCATAATGTCCTCCAGGTTCATCCATCTTGTTAGAAATGACAGGATTTCCTTTCTCAAGGCTGAATCGTATTCCACTGTGTATTTATACCACATTTTCCTCACCCGTCCATCCACCGATGGACACGTAGGTTGACTCTGTATCTTGACTATTGTGAATAGTGCAGCCATGAACATGGGAGTTCAGACATCTCTTCTAGAAGTCCCTTTAGACACGTTTGACCTTCTGCTTCTATCCTCCATGTCTTTTAACACCTCTTATTTTCTATCTCTGTGTGATCTCATTCTAAATACTTTCCTAAGGTCTATGTTCCACTTCAGTAAATTATCTATTTAGCTATGTCTAATTTGCTATTTATCCTCCACTGAACTGCTAGTTATAAATGTTATGTTTCCCATCTCAAGAAGTCTCATTTTGTTCTTCATCTGCCTATTCTTTTCCTGGCATTTTACTTTTCTTATGTTTTTGTGTTCCATATATCTCTTTAGTCATTTTCCATTTGCTTACTTTATATTTTCTTTCAGATTGTTGCTCCATCATCTGAAGTTCCTGAATGGTCTAATCCTGATCCTTCTTTGTACCTTCTGGCTCTTATTTATATTGGATTTTTTCTCTGGTGCTTGGGTAAGTTTTTTATTGTGAGCTCACCTTTATCAAGACTTCCTTATTCTATTGCAATTAAGAATAGCTCTGGTGGTGGAAATATCCCTCCTAAGTGGAATGTTTTATACTTACTCCCGCCAGATACTCCATGAGTATCATTCTCCTGAGGGCTATTTTGAGGTGAATTTCTTATTCTAGGAGTATTATCAATTCAAACTCCAACCTTATGTGAGGAACAGGTTTCCACTGCTTAGGTGAAACTTTTCCTACTTGAGCCAAGGCAAAGAAAGAAGCTTCCTTGTCATCCACTTGGGCTATAAGGAGATTGTTTTTCGGGTCTATCTTTTCCCTAATGGTGTGGGCCTAAAGGCTCCCAGCTTTACACGGAAGTCTCGGTTCCCACCTCTCTCGAGCCTACATACTCCTTGCCTACCTACAAGCTGGTGGTTGAAGTCAGGCCCAGGTCCCCAGACCCCACCATAGCAGCTGTGCCTCAACTCATCACTTAGTGCTGTTGTTTTCCATTCCCTCTTCATTTCTACCACGTGGAAATTTCCCTTTTTTGCCTTGGAAGTTCAGATATTAACTTCACCTTACTCTGTTGCATTCTCCCAAGCATTGTTAGGTGTTTATGACGGGTGGGTCTCCACGCTATGGAGTCCACAGTATTGTTGGAACCAGAAACCCGGATGGGCTGATTTTCACTCTGCTCTTTCACGTTAAATTACTTAATTTCATCTACTGGGGACTGTCTGCTTTGGGAACACCTCTCTGATGTCCCAAAGTAGTCAGCAGAAACGCTGATTTGTATTTTCTAAATTCTTTTTAAAAACACATCTGTGTCCAAAATACAAATGGTTCTATTCTTATGCCTTAGGTTTATTTTTCACAAAAGAAATGATGATGTGTCCAGCTGCCTGTCTGGCTAGCTCATGCTTGGCGACCGTGCTAGGACAGGCAGACGGACAAAGGTAGGAGGTGATGAGACCCCTCAACAACCATCCTCTCCTGCCCTGACGCACCAACAGATCCTGAATCTCCCTTGTCAGCTCAACATTGACCAAGGTTCCAGCCCGGGGCCAACTGCCTCCTGGACACCCCAGGGTGGCTCATTTAGGGCCCCTCAGGTCCTTCCCACTCCTGTTTTCTTTCTCTGCCCTGACTGAGCACAGAGTGCCTGGCTGCTCTGTGACCCAGCCAGCTGCGCATCCCCCCTGCAGGCTTCGACCCAAGGGGGGCCGTGAACATTCCCAGGTGCCCGGGCACAGATAAAGTTGTACAGGTTGTAGCTCAAAACACTGAAGATCAAACGTGTCGCTAAACATGCAGAAACGAGCCCTGGCCCTGAGCCAAAGTCTTTCGACCTTCATATAAACTCTAGACCTCAACCCCTCATTGCAGACACACCTGGGCAGAGATTGCCTTTCTCAGTGTCCGTTGTGAGGATACGCTGTGTCCTCCTCTGCAAGGAAGCTCCCCCAGCAGCTGCCTGGACCGGTAACCCTGGCATTTAGTGCTTTTTTCTACAGAATCCCAACGGGCCCCGCCGCGGGATGGCTCAGGGTGCTCCCTTGCGGGAACTCCCCGCGGCCACTGCTGGGCGACTCCAGCCCTGGCTCAGTGGGACTGGACAGCCCCTCCCCCGCTTCTCCCCACAAACCTCTCCCTGACAACCACCCCTTCCCACATCCAGCCCCTCCGTCCACACCTGCTCCAGCCTGCAGTGCCACCCGCTTCCGTTTCCACTTTCCTGCAGTTCCGGGCTCTCCCAGCCGTCCCCCGCCTGATCACTGCTCCACCCCACTCTGCCTCCTGAGTGCCCCTCCATCCTCATGGCCGCCATCTCTCTTCAGGCCTGGTCCTCCCCTCCCTGAACCGAGGCAGAGCCCCCGACCTGGGTGTCTGACTTCAGTCTCCCCTCATCCAAACCCAGTCTCTGTAATGATGCCAGAGTCTGCAAACGGTCCCACGCCCAGGAATGGAGGACAGAAGTCCACTCCCCAGGGACAGAGGAGGGCCCATGGAGGGCACTCGCCTTTCAAATGCACTTCTGTCCTCAAAACGAACACTCAGAATGCTGTTGTTTTTTTAAACTGAGTTGACCAAGTGTTACCACCTCACCGAACACATGGCCCCATCTCCGAAATCAGATCTTCCCCGCATGAGACACAGACGCAGGCCACGCGAGAGCCTTGGCGGAGGCCCGCACGTTGGCCTGTCCCCATCGCGTCTTCTTCAGGGACGTTAGCACTGGGCAAGCTGGTGTCTCCTGGCAGACACCTCCAACACCAGCACAGAGAACAGACACAGCCCCACGGCCAACTGCCAACGCTCGTCCCTGCTTGCCCAGCGCCCCGCGGTCAGCCGCACCACCAGCGCGGTGTCACCCAGTTCCCAGTTACTTGCGATGTTCACTTTAGGTGATGTCGGGGTGTGTTTAAGTGTGCATGTGTGTGAGTGTGTGAGAACGCGCGTGCGCGTGGCTGACCGCCCACCGGCAGCTGCGCTGGGGAAGCGCACGCAGGCTCCTCGGCTGCTCCAACCCTCGGCGGCGCCCGCTCCACCAGGCACGAGCCACGCAGCAGTTGGCCCCCAAAGTTCGCCTGAATGGGTGACGAATATAACTAAGGATGCTTAGGATTTGTCCCCCACAAGAAACGCCCAGGTTTGAATTCATCTGCATAGTTACAGAACTAAAACTCATATTTTTCAAAAGCGCCTGGGGTTGGTTCCACTCCCGGGGGTGCACACCCCGTCTCACCCACTGAATGCAGCCACGAGGCCATGGAGCTGCCGTCTGCACACGCTGACAGCAAAGGGCGGCAGGTGGATTGGGGGGCAGAATTCAAAGCCCCACCAACCAGAAGCAAGTTTGCCTTCTATCCCCTGACCTGTATGCAGGGCAGCCCGAAACCCGTAAGTGGCAGGGCGGGCTCAGATGAACCCTCCAGTGCTCCCTC